GACTACAAGGTTAGAGGCACCATTTGTAAAACTTTAAATCATTTCATCCAACAAATGTTTGCAGTTTCATTTCCTATTTTTCAAATCACAATTCTCCGCACTTCAATAATTTTCATTTTTGTTACCGTTAGAGGCGCTGACTAATGTTTTTGAACTTAAAATAATGTTATTTAGTCTTGATCTGTGTTTATGTGCAAATATTACTTGCTAATCACTCCGCCACTGCATGAATGTCTCTTGTTAGTGCTTATCTTTGATTTGTGTCTGGATTTTTCCTATAGCAGCAGGCAGATAAAACTGAAAGGACTGGAAATGAATGCTTCAGCCACTTGTGATATAACAGTGATTAACCACCTGCAGACTTAGCATTTTCACACCACACAACAGCTGTCACCTCCCTGAAAGAGGTGCATTGATTAGAACAGCTCCAACTCTGGTTCTGCTCCAACGAGGTTTATATCACATCCAACCGACTTTCACCACGCATTCACATGTCTGACTGAAGAAATACTCTGCAGTCTGGATGTGATTGATGTAAGAGATTCTTTATTGTAACCATTAAAGATTAAATGTTGTTAAAATGCATTTATATGCTCTTCTCTTCATTTATAGGTAAGAATATGTAGAAACATTTAATCATTCAGATTCCAAGTTTGATTCATTCTAGTTGAAGAAACTTGCTATGAAAATCTGTTAGCTAACATCTACGCTCTTCCTTGTTTCCGCTCTTGAAAGTTCAGCCAAAAAGCAGCAAAGAAAATAATTGGTTTCCTGGATTCAGTGACAGCCAATAGCATGTCAAGTAGCATTGCGTTGAGGTATTTTAGCTTCAAAAGCTGGACTTTACATATGCTTTATGAAAAAATCTCCAAATACTAAACTGCAAATAGGTGAGAGTCTCTGTATGGCTACATCCAGTAGTCCACACCTTAAACCGCATCTTGAAAAGTCAACATGAATTTTACTAGCCTTGTGTTTTCTTTTTGTGACATATCTTAAAAGCTTTTCCAGCCAGTAGTCCAGTAGACCAAAATCTCCACATTTGTTACATTTTCAGCTGCAGTCAGGGGCCAGACAGAAGTGTCCCAAGGGCCACAAAAGGCCCCCAGACCATACTTTGGACATCCCTGTTCTAGACAAATGAACTAGTTTGATTAAAGCAGACTAAAATGGACCAGTGTGAATGAACCCCAAGACTCACTTATGTAATACAAAGATTTAATCTAATTTAACCAAAAAGGATTAAGATTAATGATTATTACAATTTACAGCTTCTTCTGTTGTAGTCTGACAGGTTTGTAGGGAATAATCACTTTCTATCAAAGGATTCTGCTTGTGCTTTCTTTCAGCAATCCAAATGAAAGCACTAATTGACCTTAACTGAGGCCCTGACTTGGAAATAAATTCCAGCATTATTTGCCGTGGCTGGGGATCCCAGGCGCTGAGTCAACACGGCCTAATTTAATGCAAGCAGCTCCGAGTACAAATCCCCAGAAGCGCCGTCTGATAAGAGCTCACAGAGCCGGAGGCAGCAGAGCACAAAACGATGAAATACCCTAAAAATAATACATTTTTCAGCCTTAAATCAAGCGTACAGAATAACGCAGAGCCACGACGCGGTAGTGATTGCTTGTCCGATCTGCCGGTTCATTGGCTGCTTGGAGCGGGGAGCCGGCGAGGCGAGGCTCTGACTGATAACGCCGGTCGTGGCGTTTCTCTCCAGCACATCAGGATTCAGCAGGACTCCTGGCTTAAAGATGCTGTTTGATAAGTGACACCCTGAAGAGCCAGAGATGAAGCAGCTCACTGCTTCTGCACAGCTGCAGGCAACACATGGTGAACCGTGAGAATCGGACCGTTTTTTAGACGCTTTGCTACGTTTCTCACTTCAGTTTCATCAGTTACTCAACAGCTAGAGTGTTATTTTTTCATTTCTCTATTTTTTTTTAAACAAATCAATAAGAACACATAAAAGCAATGTTTTACACATAAGAATCAGTCATTTTAGCTACCATACCTGTCCGAAAAGGAGAAAGGACTTTACTTTTTTAATTCTCACTCTTTAATACTATTGTTTAATATATCTTTAAAGATCTTACATAGAAAACATAATTTATAGAGTCCTATATATGTTATACTATATTTAACTGATTCATTTAAGAATATTCTGTTTTATTTGATTGTTTCTAGGAAAAAAGTGCAAAACTACAATTACTGATGTCAACAAATCTGTCATTTTTAGCTAATTTTAAAATCCTGACACCATATTGATGAACAACATTTGAATGTTTTGTCACGGGCCAAAAAAATCATCATTTTTAAACGCTAAAAGCACCAAAAAATGTTGCTTTTTTTTCACCTATTCAATAATAAACTGGCATGACAAGCAAACAGTTTGCTTATTATTTTGAGTCTGACTGAAAATAAAGTGAAAATAAAAACAGGATATTTGTCACTCTTCATTTGAAAACACTTTCTCTATTTAGTCAAGTTTTAATACAACAATTAAAAGCAGATTTGGATGCACCAAGGTGGACTTTAGAGTAGAAGTCCTCGAGTATGTGTGGTCCTAGTAACCATGACAACCACAAAGCTTAGAAAAGACAATCATTTGTAAATGTTTGTAACATTTTTGTCAGAAGATTTTAATTTAAAAGTTTAGTTTTGTAATTCTGTCCTAAATTTTTACAATTTATTCTCGAATTGTGGTCGGGACGGGGCCAAACAAAATCAGTCCAGGGGCCACAAAGGGCCCCCGTTCCCCACTTTGAACATCCTTAATCAAACGGCTTACACACCTTTTTACTACGGCATTTCACTCTTCACTCTGTTTACCGACCCAAAAAATGTCTGATCTTAATTGGTGAAAACAGATTTTGGAAAATAAATGTGCACACCTATCAAAAAAAAAATACTTTTATCACTTACAGAATATTTATTATTTTATCACATATTATTCTGAATTTGTGAAAACTGGGAAAAAATTACAATTGGATTTTTTTCTCTCCAACTTCACATGGCATAAATATCTTGAATACATCTATTCTTTATTTTATCTATTTTAAGTGGGAATAATTTAGTCCTAAATTTATAAAAACCTTTAAAGGTACTTTTATATTACTAGAGCATTTCAGCACAGTGAACATTGCTGTCCAAATGTAGTAAAGAATGAACTCAACTTTAAATAAATGTTCATCTGTTGGTTCACATAAGTCACAATTTTACCAAATTTAAGCCAAAGTTTTCAGATTTGTGCTCTGAAGAAGTCTTTATTCTTCATGTTTTAACCTTGAAAACAAACACTTTCTGTTTATGATAAATCAAACGAGTAAATGTAGTAAGAGATAAAAAGAATAAAGATGTTTATCTGCTACCTGATAAAAACAAACATTAAAATCTTCATCCTCACTGTAAAACCCGTTGCAGTGGAGGCGTAGGGTTTTGTTTATCCCCCTTGAGGAGCTTTTATGCTTCTGACCTCCAAGGAATTTCTTTCAGTCTAAATGGGCAAAGTTTTGTATTTTCTTTCCGCTAATGTTCCAGGTGTCTTTCTGATGGATTTGTTTTCTTCTCGGAGCCCCAGCAGAGACCCTCGAATGCAAACAGCTTAGCTAATAGAGAAAAGAGAAAACACCTTTCGCAAGTAAAAGCTTTCAGATTACCCATCCAGCTTATTATAATATATTAATATGGATAAAAGCTCTCCTGCTCCAAATCCCTCATATCGTAGATTACTGTGGGGATTTAAACTCAAAATCAAACTGAAGGAGGAATGTACAGAATATAAAAATATTTTGACAAATGTAACACTCTTCTAATGAAAGGTTTTCAACATAAAATACATCAAAATCATTCAGATGAATCTCAAAACAGTCACAGTAAGATAATGTTTGTTAAAACTGTCACTATGTCGTGACAGTTTGTTGTAAGACGGATAATCTGTGAAAAGATCGACATGCTCCACCTCTTCCCTGAGCTGTTACTGCCGTCTGAAGAATGCCAAAAGCAACCAATCAGAGCCAGGAGGCGGGTCTTAGTGCTGCCAATCAACCTCACATACTCGCTGCTAAATGTGATTGTGTCAGACTTAAACTGTTTATCTGCAGTCATTGGTCTATATGCTAATAAGACCTAGCATTTATGATAGGCCATGCTGGCAGCTAGAGCGGTGACAGACATCCTGGCTCTGATTGGTTGTTTCTGACCAGGCGGTGTTTTTCTGCAGGTGGCAGTAGGACTACAGGGATGAGGAAGAGGAGGTAAAGCTGTCGTTTGCAGCCTCTCCTGCAACAGCACCTTTCAAAAGCCTTAAATCCAAGTATCTAAACTTAAGGCCTTAAAATGTCTTAAATCCAGGTAAAAAAATGTAGTTTGGCCTTAAATGCGATAATCACAGGTATTAAATTTTAGTTTTTTTCCTCACACATCTTTTCTGTCAGGCATAAATTTGAGTCGTGTGCAGACATCTGTATTATGTACTGCAAAAATTCCCTTGCTAGCTAGTTAGCATCTATGTTATTGCTGAAAAAGAAATATAACAAAGTCAGTTTTCTCGACATTGTCCTATTAACCTTTTCCAGTTCTGGGTGATGTTTGCCATCCCTCTTTCTTGATCTACTAAGAAAAATGTTGCATTTTTAATTTCCTATCAACCAAAACTGATTTGAAATTTTCTTCACATTGGAAATAATTACATTTCTTGCTCCTGCCACTGTTTAAAAGCATCACTGAAGGTTTTTCAGGTGCCATTCAAGGCCGTAAAGAAAAACAAGTAGGCTTTTCTGAGAGCCAAATTAATTGGCTTTATCAGATTGAATAGCTGCAATATATAAAATTCTCCTGAAGAAGAAGTGATTATTCATCACCTGGAGGGATTTCTGGAAGCCATAATTTAATGGTTTGCGATCTGAAGGTCGGATTTCCTCCCAAACTGAAGGAAACGTTGATTTTTATCTCAGCTTTGTGCAAAACCAGAGTAACGTTACAGGCAGATCCGTGGCTCAGGTTGCATTATGATTTATTCAAGTCACAGCAGCAGTGATTCACAGTACGGACTGATGGAAAAAAAATACAAAAAACATGTTTTTCAGTTGCATGAATCACATGTCAGAGCTGATCACAAGACACCCTGTTTACATCTGTTCTGTTGTGCGTTTTGTGGGCGTTTGAATGCAATTCAAGTTTACAGAGATGTATGTTAAAAAGGCAACACTTAAAACATCAAAACTGTACATAATCTTTTTTTACTGAGACACTTTAAAGTACGGTTTCTGTTTATATCACAGTGCAACACCATTAAGGCAAAGATCTAAAAAAGCAGCAGGTCACACACATGGAGAAAACCTACATTAATTATACTCTGCCCTTGCACACAAACACATTGAAAAATAGACTTATTTATAACCACATGCTTAAAGTGCCAGTGTGAATAACTCAAATGTGCAAATTTACACAAATACCTACACAAACTTACAAGAGCGCAGATGAGAAACAAGCTTTAACTTTTATCACAGTATTTGTCATGCTGCTTCAAAGAGAATTGATTCAAATCTTTGGGAAATAAAGAAAAATGTGCACTTTTATTCAGAAACGGATGTGCCTGAGAGATTTAGAAAACATTCTGATGCATTCACTGCAGTGGGAAAGTGCAGATTGTTTTTTACCCTGTTAGAATCTGTGAATGGTGCCATCAAATACTTAAAATTATTTTTTAGTTCAGTATTGTGCAATGTTGAATTTTCTTTGAGAACTTTTAACTTAATTACATTACTTTTTTGCCTGAGGATTTAAATTAAACAATAAAGTCTGCTATAAAAGAAAATAGTTTTATAATAAAGTTTAGCTGATTTGTGCTGGATAGAGACAAATATTGTCCTTGAAATTTGTGCTGTGAAATAAAAGTGGAAATCAAAGCAGTGGGTACACTTCCGCTAACCTGCTAATGTGCTAATTAGCCCAATACAATTAGTACAGTCACATTATAATTAGCACAAAACATTAGCTCCGCTATAAATAGCAGAGGTAATGTTTCGTTTAGCACCTTTGCTAAACTAGCAAACCCTTAGCGCACCCAGCTTCCTTTAACTGAATTCAGTTTTAAAGCATTAATTTACTTGGCTGGTTTGTAAATTTTCAGTTGAATAAAGCTGACCAAAAATGAAAAAAAAAAAAAAAGCGAGTACAGGACGGGACGTGATTGGTCGACGATGAAGGGACGCTATTGGCTTACAATGTGCCATGTGACAATCCGTGATTGGTCGACTCGGTGATGAAAAGCTAAATATAGCGTTGTGTAAATCTGCAGTATTTTGTTGTGTTTAGCTATAGCGCTTCAGAATTAGCTTCCATGTTGGTTTAGCTCTAAGATGAACTTCATGAATAATGCTGTAGAAACATTCAGAAACATCTGGAAAGCAACAAGACTTCATCACACACAGATTCACTCCTTTGGTAAACAGAATTACAATCCTTCTTTCTTTAGCCTCATGACTGACATGTGCAGTAATGTTTTCATTGCCTTATAAGGTCTTTGACGGCTATATACAGTAATGCTAGGATAACCTCAGGAAGCAATAGGCCTCCTTCTATGGCACTGTCATGGTTGCCTCAGAAATCAATGGTGTGATTAATTTAAAGAGAAAAACTCGCCTTATAAGGCAAACTTGTGATTGCGGGATTACCTTATAAGGGTAAGTTATAATTATAATGTAATAATCGCTTTATAATGCAATACTGTGGTTGTCTTATAAGGTATAATCACCTTATAAGTCAATGCTATGATTTGCCTTTTTGCCCTACAATGTTATGATTACAGTTAAGAGTAACATTATTATCTTGATGCTATAAAGTCGTACCCCAGTGCTTCCATGTTCAAGAAACCAATGGAGACAAAGTAATCCCAGTTGTAGCAAAGTTAGTGTCTTATTTCATTCTTAGCTGTCTAATGTGCTTTAAATATATCATACACCGAAGCATTTTCAATCTGTGCAGCTGCAAAACTGACATTTCAGGCTCTTCATCCTTTTAGATTCACAACATTGTGGACTGCAGACAAATCCTGTGGTTAGCCAACCATCTAATCAACCCCACTCATCCTGCAGACCTGGAGCTCTGCACTGCACACTGATTATAGATTAAATACCTGGAGCATCTCACAGAAAGCTAATACACCAGAGAGCCTGAGAGCAGCAGAAGATCTCCTTAAAGGTCTTCCTCATCTCCTGGCTGCGGAAGGCGTAGATGATGGGGTCGATGACGGAGTTGCACATGATGAGGATGAGGTACATGTTGAAGTGAGACATGAAGCAGGTGCAGTAGGGGTTCCTGGGGCAGGTGATCATCAGGATGAGGTGCAGAAAGAAGGGCGCCCAGCACACCACAAACACCCCCAGCAGGATGGTGAGGGTGATGGCGCCCTTCATGTTGGCGCGCTGCTGGATGGGCGCGTTGCCCGGCAGGGCGGCGATGCGCTTCATGTGCAGGCGCGCCAGCAGGAACATGTGAACGTAGAGCGACGCCATGAGGACCAGCATGGTGAAGAACATGGTGATGAGGCAGATGAGCACCGTGGTGCTCTCTGAGTAGATGATGAAGAGGATGCCGGAGACGGTGCAGCACGTCCAGATGCCAGCGATGACCAGCAACGCCCGCCGGATGGTGACGATGTTGTGGTACCGCAGGGCGTAGAAGATGGTGATGTAGCGGTCGATGGCGATGGCGAGCAAGCTGCAGATGGAGGCGAGCAGAGAGCTGCAGATCATGGAGTCAAACACGTTGTCCATGCTTTTGATGAGCGTGACGGGGATGGTGAGGCTGCCGCCGTTGATCAGCGCTATGACGATGGTCTCTGATGCGTTGGAGACGCTGACCAGCATGTCGGCGACCGCCAGGCTGCAGATGAAGAAGTACATCGGGGAGTGGAGGTTCTTGTTCTTGATGATGGCGGCGACCACCAGGATGTTCTCCAGCAGGCTGATGATGCCCAACGTGAGGAAGACCTCGGTGGAAATCAGCAGCTGCTCGTAGCAGCCAGCAGAGGAATCCTTCTCCTCTCCGGAAACGTCTTTCTCTGGCAGAGTTCCTGAGCAGAGGCTCTGGTTCAGGCAGCCTGGGATCAAGCCTTGCTGAGCCGTGGAGTTCATCTTCACTTCTTCTCTTTGTTACAGCAAGTCCTGAAGTCTCAGCTGTTTCTTTTTCCCATTTTCATCCTTCAACTCCTCCTCAAGCAGCAAAAACAATCCTGTTGTTCTGGTTTCAGTGAAACGACGTGAGGAAGAAAAGTGGAGGAGAAACGATGAAAGGGTGAAAAATAATCAGTCGGATCCAGAGCGGCAGAGCGCAGCGGCTTGCTGTGTGACCGATCATCACTTCTCAGCCACTGTGGTCTTATTCTGGTCTCACTTTCTCTCCCTCTGCTTATGTACCACACACACACACACACACACACACACACACACACACACACACACACCCTCAGCCCATCCCACCCTCACAGATAAAGTGGGAGGTGTAGGAGGAGCTGACGCATCACTCAAGGTTTTATCACTGAAATGAATTTGTTGCAATGTTTGAAACTTTTCAGGACTGAAGAGAGTAAAACTGTTATTTAATGTAATTTGGTTTATGAATGAATAAATAATAATCATTCAGCAGCTGAATTATGATTATTATAGCAGAAGCTTTTCTTATTTTCAATTAGTGATGTGCAGAAACCAGCACTGCTTTTATTTATTATATAAACAGTTCTAACAGGAGGAATAAACCTGGGTTATGTTCTCTGAAAATTACTGAATTATTAATTTAATCTTAGCAAAAATTTACACTAACATGCATTTCTGTGTGACCACTGCCAAAACACAAAATCTTACCATTTAATTTTGGTCTAATTTATAATGCAAATTACTTTGCACATTTGAAATAAGAGAAAACTAACTTACAAGTAACTTTTCAGCAACATAGGAGCTTGTTTTAAGTCAGTAATTCCTTAATATTAATGAAAAAGTTCTTGTTCCGTTCACAGACTGTTTCTTTTATAACGAGACATTTTTTCCATTTTATAAGTGAAATAATCTGCCAATGAAACTAGAACTTTTTCATTAATATTAAGGAATATTTGACTTAAAATCAGCTTCTATTTCTTGCTGAAAAGTTACATGTAAGTTAGTTTTGTCTTATTTCAAGCGCACCAAGATATTTGCACTAGAAACTAGATGAAAAATACTTGGTAAGACTTTGTGTTTTTGCAGTGAAGAGTCTCAACAAAGGTTATGTTTTACAGCAGATAAATCCGACCCATATCCAACTTTTCACCACCCAAAAAATCCGATCTGTGGAATTATTTTGGATGCATATCGGATAGATTTCAAAGCAACAAAGAGAACCTATTAATAAATACGGCTGTACAACTACAGGTACAGCTTTCTATTCCAGCTCTTACCAGAATCTTAGCAGCTAATGCTAAGTGGTTAGCAGCTTGTTCAAAGCCAAAGGTCTGTTTAACAACAGAATACATTTCCCTTTGTTTATAGCATCACAAAAACAGACTAATTCAGGTATAAAGAGCTAATTAGAACTATTTCCTTCTTTGTGGGGAAACACTTCCTCTTCCAAAACACTGAACTCTTCACAGATTCAGAGTTTGTGCCTGGTTTCCACAACTTGACACATCAGAGATGAATTTGGGCAGGAACAATTAGCTAGCCAGGTCTTCTTGTCCCACATTAGTGTCTGACCTCACATATGATTTGTTGGAGGAAGAATCAATAACTGAGATCAACACAAATTCATTTTCTTTCTATTATTCTATATGCTGAAAATCCCAACAACTATAATTTCTCCCCTCTGTCTGGAGATCTTGTCAAACTGAGTAGCAACAGGCTCACAGGTTTCTCCTTTTACTGAGCTCCTTTACAAGAATAAAATATGAAATATTGATCATTTTGGGGCTTTATTCCCCCACAGCTGTCCTCTCCTGACTCCATCAGATCTCATTATGTTTACTGCTGTTTGTATTGAAGATCTGCTCTACAGAGAGCCGGGTTATGAGTGTGTGGATTAAAAACACTAAAGAAATCTGTTTAATGTTCTCAAGGGACACAGACTGGAGGAGCAATTAGAAACCTGTCAGACTGCAGTGAAAAAGCAACAAGTCTCCTGAAGACAAGGTGTTCAAGGCTTTTACGGCAACCTGCCGGATCACGCTAACCCTTTGTGTTCAGTAAATGTCAGTCTTTGTGCAATACAGAATTAAACCACTTTAAAAAGCTGCAGAGGAAATTAGGTTTTTAGAGGAAGTCATGCCAACAGGTTTTAATTTTAAAATCTACCAAATAAGCTTCCAAAAATGGAAATTAAAGCCTTGAAGAGCTTTATTTTTATTATTATTAAACATTTAAATAACTCTAAATTGATAGTCAAATGTAGGTGAATCTCTAAGTTAACATAAAAAAATTTTAATATGAAAAAAAATGAACATTTTGAGATACATTTTTATTATTACTTCATGTAATCTGCAATTTTCTTAGTTCTGAGTAAAAAATTTGCATAAAATATACTGACTGCTGTCCTAACACAACTGTCTGACTCTAAGTTAATATATTTCTATAATTTTTAAAAAAAACTTGTTTTCTTCCGTCTTCAGACGCTGAACAATGACGCACACAGATGACATGTCTGCTTGTTTTTCATCTTCTGGGCATCTCATTTATTTTGTGCCTAAATCAGATCTCTGTGAATCACCAGATGTTCCCTAATATATTTAGCTCCCAAAAAAATGTGCCTGTTTCTCTGTTACTCATTTCACCCAAGGGAACAAATAATAAACTGGATGGTTTTCTTCTGTGTGAGTTTAGAAAAATGTCTCGAGTTTCTTACCTGTCTTTGTAGAATTCAAATACTGTAATTGAGTAAAAGTTGTAACGTAATTATATTGTTCATAAGTTAATAAGAATGAGCCGAGAGCTAGCTCTAAGTTATTGTTGCCATAGCAACTCTATAGCAACTGCCATGACAGTTGGCTATGGTAGCTACCAACAGGGTTGTTAGCTAAAGAGTTCCCAGATCTATGCATTTAGTATATTTAATTTGTTAAATATAAGTATTAGGTGGATTTATTTCCAAATAGCTGGAGATTATAACATAGCTCCACGGTAGCTAGTTTGTGCACTGATCTGGTTAGTTGGGTGCCGTTCAAAATACCCATCTAGATAAAAAACAACACATCACTGTGTTTAAATTGTCCACTTCTTAGATGACTCTAATTTGCAGAGTGATTTAGAGCAGGATGTCATTTGCATAGCAGTGGAACTGAATGTTGAAATGGCAAAATATGGAACCAAGATGGAGAAGATAAATAATAAAAGAAGCGGCCCGAGGACAAAGTCCTGAGGAACACCAGAAGTAAGAGGAGGAGTGGGAACAGAAAGTTTGTAAAACACTCAGACAACGTCTGGCGACAACAACCTTAATATATTCAAGTCATTTAAATTCTCTAATTTTGAGTCTTCAGCGCGTCTAGATGCCTGAATACGATAAGCTGCTGCCTCAATCAATCATATCTTCTTGCTAAGGTGAAGGTATCACCATGGAGACAAAAAAAGCCTCCGTACGCACTGCAACTCATATTTCTGTGATACTGGTACTGCTGGACCTACAGAATGCTACATTCATCAGACAAACCTAAACTCTGACGTTTAGACTGGACGTTCCCAGCATGTCTGACTGAACACCAGCCAGCAGCTCATTTTGTTCATGACTTCTACCTGAACATCCATTTGTGATGTGATTTTCTGACTGGTCAGGCCTGCAGCAGCTGGCGGCGCTCCTGTTTCAGAGGCTCTCCCTCCTCTCTGCAAGACACTCGTGTTGCTGCTCAGAAACAACTCAGATCATCAAAGACGGGAGAAGAGAATAAATGCATCAAAGTAAACAGAAGCTGCTCAGGCTTTTTGCTGCTGTTGTTTTTCCAAACAGAACAAACCACTTCAAAACTCAAAACATCTGCTGGTTCCTTTATCCCGATTCCTCGCTATCATGTTGGGATGAACGTCTTTTAAGCTGGAACTAAACAGCATTGTTGTGTTTTCTTTTATGTAATGTCTCAGTTCCTCCTGCATGTATCTTTTAAAACATGAGTGTGTGGTTTTTGGTTTTTTATTATAATTATTTTGAATGTACAAAAAGCAAAGAGGAAGACAAGAAGTTCGACCGGAGCAGCTGATCCTCTTCTGCACGGCCGTTACAAACACTGCAATAAGTCTTTGTAGAGTTTGAATTAATAGGAGTTACAATAACATTTCATTTACCTTGAGGTAGTTTGAAGTTAAACTGAATTTGAATAACTGAGTCTGGTCTGTGTTGGTCCATTAAATGCAGAGTTAGAAAATATATCTGCTTTAATGGAAACTAACGCTTTTGGTAAAAGGTTTTTACACTTTTTGGGCATCTCAAAATATTTGTACTTTTGCAAAACTGCAATGAAAACACTTATTTTGCATCACATGAGTCACATGACCGACAGCAGAATGTTACTACTGCTGGAAACGCAGAAGACGACGACAGGAAGTGGTAGGAGGATGAATATATCTGTTTACATTCGTTGCTGCCATGATTTTTAATGACTTATCGTGTGAACGACCTTATTCATGTGTGATTTAATTTATTTTTCCTATTTAGTGGACACTCTACAATTGCAAAATTGTGTTTTTTTACGCTAGACTATAGAAAAATATTTGGTTCTTATTATAAATACTAAGGAACTTTTGACTTGGTTGAAGCTGAAACGTTTTCCTCGTCACAGTTTCCAATTCACAGACGATGAAAACAAAAAAGCCGAACCAAGGCTATTTCTGTTTTAATGCCTTTCTGAATCTGTTTCCATGGCAAACCTGTAAAGAAAGAATAAAACCTTGAATTCATTGTTCATCAACCTCAGATTGTTGCTATTTAAACCCTGTGTTACAGGAATTTGGGATTAAAATATTTGCCACATAGAAAGACCTTTGCAAGGAAGCAAATGCTCCCAACATGATGGCAATAAGCACGGCTGTCTGAGACATTGGGAGTTAATGCATTAACATTCCTTCAACCACAAAACTTCTGTATGAATCTTTATTTTTCAGTTGAGCAGCCTACGAGAATCCTGGGTTATATTTTATAAAAGTGTCTAATTATGTGAGAAAACCAAAGTTTTCTGTTTATTCAGTCAGTATTTAATACAACAAATAATCACAATTCAGAATATTATGAAACATTTAGCAATAAAAAACCCAAGTTTGGTAAGAAAATAACCACTTAATATTTACAAGATCAATTAGCTTTAGATTAAATAATTGATAATTTTCCATCTCCTCTCTTGCCAATCTTGTTGTGTTATCAAATATTTGTAAATATACTTGTTTGGGATGAATAAAGGAAGGTAATTTGTTTAAAAAAAGTTAATTTATAAACTATATAAATATTTTTTTCCAGCTCAAGAGGTTTAGCAGTGAAATATGTTCTGAATAATAAAACACGCTGACAGATTTTAATTTAGA